TCCCTTCCAACCCAAACCATTCTGTGAGAATTCCTCACAGGCACTGGACTCAGACCCTCCCTGGGATCCAGACTGACTGGGATCAGTGGACCCAGAGTGGGATCCACAGCAGGACAGAGTCCGTGTTCTCAAGGCTGTCAGCTCTCAGACACTGGGGGCTGTGCAGCCTGTTCCAGCCGAGGTACCAGTCACACTCCCAGAGCACAACCACCTTTAGTATTCCAACCACCAGAAGGCACAGAGTCCTTCACTTGCACTGTGTGCAATTACCTCACTTTAAAAGCTCTGCTTCCTAAACCCCACCCAGACAAGCAGGTGCTTTATCCTGCCCCTGCCCTGGCAGAGCGGGCACCGCACCGGCGACCGGTGGCCCCGATACCGAGAGAAGGCGCTTCAGGCCATCACGGCCACTCGTTCTCTCTTTTCTCAAGCAACACCCGAGCAGCCGGCGGGCCCGGGCAGGGGTCTGTTGTCCCTCGGGCCGGCGGGCCTTCCCCCCAGTTCTCCCACCCGGGGGGGCAGAGGCGCTTGTGCCCCGAGTGCCCGGCGGGGCCGGCCGAGCTCTGACAGGCCCCGCGGCAACCGGGACCGGCGGCGCTGCGGACCGCGCCCTTCGCCCGCTCCCTCCACGCCCGCGGGGACATCCACCCCCGCCGGGCACCTCCGCCCGCTGACAGCCCGCAGGGCGCTGCCGGGCGGCACCGGCACCGCCACCTCTGTCCCCGTGCCAGTCCCCCTCAGCAGCTCCCAGCGCGGTGCCCCCGTCCCGTCCCGCAGCCTTCGCCCGCTCCCTCCACGCACCCACGGACCGGGGCTGGCCCAGGGACCTCCACCCCCTGACAGCCTGCAGGGTGGTCCTGGGCCACCCCCATCCTCACCAGCAGCCCCCGGCGCGGTACCCCTCCCGCCCCGTCCCACCTCAGCACGACAGCGGCGACCGGCTGTCCCGGTACAAACGCCATCTCCCCCCGTGCCCCCTGTCCCCGCTCACCACCACGGCGGTGACGGGCTGTCCCGGCACAAACGCCATCTCCCCCCGTGCCCCCTGTCCCCGCTCACCACCACGGCGGTGACGGGCTGTCCCGGCACAAACGCCATCTCCCCCCGTGCCCCCTGTCCCCGCTCACCACCACGGCGGTGACGGGCTGTCCCGGCACAAACGCCATCTCTCCCTCTCTCTCTTTCCCCTCCCGTCGCCGCCCGAACAAAAGCGCCTGGCCCGGCCCCGCCCCCCTCCCAACTCCAGCCAATCGGGAGCCGCCCCGCCCGCGCCGCGCCCCGCGCGCGGCCGCGTCCCGTCGGCCCCCGCGCCAAGATGGCGGGCGGGCGGTGCCGGCGGCGCGGTAGGTGCGGGTCGGGCCCGGCGGGGCCCGCGGGGCGGGAGGTCCGGCAGGTCCGGCCCGGACCGGCGGGGCGGGAGGTGGCGGTCGGGCCCGGTGACGGGCGCTGTGTGCTGTCCCTTGGCAGGGTGCGAGGCGTGACGGAGCGGCGGTCCCGCGGAGCTGCGCGCCGCCGTGGATGAGAGGTACCGTGGGGGCGGGAGGGCCGCTGAGGGGCCGGCGCGCTGAGGGCGGGCGGGCTCGCACAGCCTTGTCGAGCTCTCACAGCCTTGTCTGTGCTTCACCCCAGTGCCGCTGCGAGTCAGGAGGTCGCTGGTGGAGCCATGGCCGCCGTGGTGGCCAAGCGCGAGGGGCCGCAGTTCATCAGCGAGGCGGCCGTGCGGGGCAACGCGGCCATCCTGGACTATTGCCGCACCTCCGTGTCCGCCCTGTCGGGCGCCACCGCCGGCATCCTCGGCCTCACCGGCCTGCACGGCTTCATCTTCTACTTCCTGGCCTCCGTCCTGCTCTCCGTGCTGCTGGTGCTGAAGGCCGGGCGGCGGTGGAACAAGTACTTCAAGTCGCGGCGGCCGCTCTTCACGGGGGGGCTCGTGGGGGGGCTCTTCACCTACGTCCTGTTCTGGACTTTCCTGTACGGGATGGTCCACGTGTACTGAGCGGGGCACGAGGACTGTTGCCAAAAGTCACTACACAATAGGCCGGCTCACCTTCCAAGCTGTTTTCCATGGCTCGTGTCATTAATGCTGTCGGTAAATTATGTCCGAGTACAAATTAATCAGTAGCACTGTTCTAATTAAAACTGAATGTGAAGCACCACTTGGATGCCTCCTGTGAGTGTTTGTTTGCTGGCTAAGGGATAATTTCTGTCCCTAAATGCAGACACAGATGCGGGTTTGGTTAATGTAATCCCTTGTATCCTTTCTTTGGGTAAAACACACCAGTTACAGTCCCCTCTGGATTTGCTGCCTGCCCCTACACACAAATCCTGCTGGAGCAGGGTGTAACAGCTCTGAAATAATCCACTGACCCTTGTAATTAGGTGTAAGTAAAGGTTTGGTACAGAAATGTATCTGAGTTGCTAGTGCAAATGTTCTCTCCCACAATTGCTGTCTGTACATGTAACAGAAAATGACACTGGCCACCAGAAAAGTCACTAAATGGTGCTCTCACAAGTCAAACACTTCACTCATTTTTAGTACTGCTGTGTCAAATGATCCACAGACAACCAACACCCCTGTGAACCTGCTGGCATGTTCTATAAGTGACCAGTGCAGCGTTGTGGTTCCAGAGAGGACAATTCAACCACCACACAGGTAATACCTTTCCTCTAGCCCTGCCCCTGCTCAGCTGACTTTCTTACATCAGAGTGTCACCAAGAGAAGGTGATGTGTGAAACCTGATACACCCTGTACAGAGCAGTCTTGGGGAGCACTGCCCTAAAGGGACACATTTTCTTGCTGTAAGTTAAATACAGTGAGAGAAAAAAAATTCAAACTCAAGAAACAAGCTCCTGAGAAGGAATCTGGTTATGTTTTATTAACAACAAGGGTTGTGGGAATTGTGTTAAACAGTATAAAGAAGGGAAACGTTCTGGGGAATTTTGGAGGCCTGAGGACTTAAATTCAGGAAATAGCTTTGGTCCTCTGACAAGAGGAGGTTGTTTTGTCAAGTTAAAACAGTGGTTTCAGCAGAGCACAGTCAGCTCTGCATGTTGTGATGAGCAACTTGGTCTCCATGGGTTGTACCTGGGCTTGATGCCACATGTGGGGTTCACCATGTATTTCACCATCTGAAAATTACTCAACTAGAGTCAACCCCTGACAGTCAAAAGCCTGGGCTGCTGCACTGGTAACACTGAAAGGCCTGACTAGTGCAGTTACACACATGGTGAGTGGTGTTTGCCTAGAGAAGAGGCTTCTGGCACGAAGAGAGGAGGTTCTGGATGAGGTCAGAGGTACACAGCTTATCCTAAATTACCTCTGCTTAGTTCTATTTTCTAGCTACATTTTTGGCTCAATACACAGAAGCAGAGGGAGTGAACTAGACTGGGTGGGGTTGCTATCAATGACTGGATTCAGAGTTTGACACTGCTAACACGTGAATTTTAATTTAGAATCAACCTGTACCTCAGAACAACTGCTTCAAAGAAGTGAAAGCAGAGGTGGGTGCAGCTGCTGGTGCCATTTGTGCAGACACTCAATGGCAGCAGCTCCCTGAAGGCCACCTTCCCTCTGTCCAGAAATGTGTAAGGACACTGCAGCAGGAGCCCTTAAATCTTGGTATTCAGAGAGTGCACAGAAACATTCAATCAATTATCACAAGGACTCCCAGTAAGTGGTGACTGTCAGCACTTCCACAACTCTGCTCAGCCATGCTGTGCAAGCTCTAAATGAGGCAGAAATATTGATTCACTGCTGTCTTCAGGAGCTGGTGAGTCAGTTCCTGTCAGCTCAAGAAAATGCAAAGTTTAAACAATGATGTTCCATAAGCCCTTTTCAGAAATTAGTTACATCTCCACGCGAGCATAAACTGACAAAATGGGCTGCAGTGAGACTGATTTCTCTGCTGAGAAACAAAGAAGCACTTGTATTTCCTGGAAGTTACCAGAGCACTGAAGTAGCACAGATGTCTTTAAATCTCCCTGCTGTTGGTGGATCTGGGGTAGCCTGGCAAAGCTCCCCTTTTCCATCTGCAGTGCAGTTCAGGGTACTATGAGAAACACAGAAGCTTTAAGTGTCCCATCCAGACCTGCCCACCACGAGCAATTGGTAAGTGATGCAGGAAGGACAATACAGAGCAAATGAAACCAGGCACTGAACAAAGGAGGCAGAACCTAAACCCACCTCTGTGCAGGTGCTCCCAGGGCCGTGTTGCTTTTCAGCGCGTTAACCCCCGTTTCTCTCACTATGAACCCCAAAACTGCCTGTCCCTGCCTTGCTGCAGAGCGCTGTTCTGCTGCTCTCCCCTGCCCTGGGCTCTGAAATGTTGGTTCTCTGAGCCAGCTGGGAGCAGAGATGGGGCAGCAGGTGAGGCAGCTGGGCCCCAGCCATGGTTGTCCGTGCAGAGCTGGGCAGGACCTGCTCCTGCTGTTCCTGAGACGAGCGGAGCACCTTGGGAAGGCTTTTCCTGGAGAAGCACCGTTTTCAGCCCTAATGGTTACAACACCCCCATGGGAGTGACTGCCCCACCCTGCCACAGCCCCTGCAGGACAACAGCCCCTTCCCCAGCTCTGAGAGCTGTTCAAATTCCACGTTTCCCTGCACCAGAGCAGTCCTGCTGCTTCACTCCTGACCACGCACGTCACGCAGGCAGGAGCTGGAAGCGGTGGCTGGAAGGCAGCGGAGCAGGAGACAGGTTGGATCTCAGCCTCAGCCCTTCTCAAAGTGCCACTGGTGGTTCCCATCATGGCTCTTCCACAGATGGAATCAAAGCACAGCCACAGGACAACGCTGGCTATTGGTGTAGGTACGGATATATCTATCAGTGGATATAAAAACATTCATTTGGTGCCTTCTTTGTCCTTTTATAAAATCCTTTTATAAATCCATAGTGACGACACACTGTTGCAAGCTCAGGATACCAGGGAAATCTCAGGGAAGAAAAGCAGTCTTTATAGGACATTTTTTTCCTCTGGGAATCCTGGTAATAGACAGTATCCCTGCTCTCCATCTCCCAGTGCTGGTGTGGTTTCACACCTGTGTGGTTTTCCTGGAGCACAAGTCCAGCTGGCAGAGCCACCACTTTGCTTAGAGCCCACCCAGCTGGTCTGGGCTCTGATTCCCATTCGGTGTCGGACTAGACAATGACTTCCTGGAATTGGACCTGAGGAAACAAGCACAGGTGACAGACAGGGCAAGCAGGCTGCTTTTATTTTAGGAAGCAACATGAATAAGAGGTTCCCAGCCAGGCCAGTCATATCTTACCCCAGAGGACCCTCTGTACAGCTAATCCCCATATCTCCATTTCATGAGGCTTTTGGAGCTGCCCCAATTTCACCCTCAGTCACTAGGGACCAACAGTACAAGGTCATTGACAGTCCAGCCCTGACAGAGCAGCTGCCTTTGCTCCCCAGCTCACTGCAGCAGTGAATTACAGAGGGGGCCAGAAACTTGGCTAAACTCATTTGGAGGAATATATTTCCCTGGAATGGGTCTTTGTTTGCCATTGACAGTTACTCTGCTCCTGTATCTCCTCCTATTTCTATTACTCATAACAACAACCCATGACACTTAACACAAAGCCAAGCCCACTTACTTCACTTCCTCGTACTTTTTGCCTCGATAAAAGTTACTCTTCTTAATCAGATACAGCAACACCAGGTCACAAAAGAAGGCTCCCTGCAAAGAGAAAGAACTTGTGTTTTATCTTTGGAATAGAAGAGGAAGTGTTCTGATCTTGTTAGCAATGAGCATTAATTAAAGAATAACTCATAGAAGCTGTGTTTTCATTCATTCTCCAAGCATTTTATGGGGTATATATATTATATTTCTCCTCCTTACAGCTACAGGAGGGGTCTGGGTCCCAATATGATACTTTGAGACAAAACATTCACTTACCGCTCCCATGAGCGCCAGCCCCGAACTGATGTTGATAACGGTGGGAATGATGTTAAATTTCCCTGCCTGGAAGAAGAAAAGTCATGAAGGAATCGGTGAGAGAACAACTCACAGAACAAACTGAAGGGTGTGGTACTGCCCAGGGGAAGCTGCTGCTGCTGCCTGTGGGTGTGTTTTGTTCCCATGGAGCAGACACAACCAAGGCAGATCCGCAGTGATCAATCTTGGAGGCTAAAGGTCTGCGTGTGCCTCACATCCAACTGTCCCTGGCTGCAGTTCTGAGCTTGCATCATCCCTGGATTAGGCTTTTTTTTTTTTTTCTGCAGTGCATATGCATAGAAATAAGTCTCTGAGGTGTATTTACTTCTGTTGGGCTTTAAATGAGCCTGCTTTTAGGTAGAGGAGGTGCAGGCTCAGCTGCATTCCAAGTCATTTCTCTAATGCAGGGTTAGCTCCACATGGACAGATGGAAAGAGTCCTTTCCTATGACAAGCCAGAGAGGCTTCCCTCATCCCAGAGCTGCCTTCCCACTGAGAAATGTCCCCAAGTTTTTCTCTCCATGCTCTGGAATATTCTGGCCTGGGACCTCACCTTGCCATTCACCATCACATCGAAGCGGATTCCGTAGGCTTTGATGAGCGTCCGGTAGTCGACCCCCTCAGCATCCCGGTAATATTTGGCAAACCTGGAACACAGCAATGCTGGTCTTAACTCCATCTGCCCCTCTGAATTCCCTTGTCTCTTCAAACAGATCTGTTCCCCCGTCAAAACCAACTTTAGCCTGCCAGGAGCACAATTCCCTCCCTCCTTCCCCTGCAGCGCACTGTGCTTGGCTGGGGCAGTGCCTGGCACAGGCTGGTGCCACTCCACTGCCAACCTCCAACTCCTGAAGTCAAACCAGCCCAGCCCAACTGCAGTACTGATCGTGGCCTCCTCTTTACCCACCTGAAGTTGTACCCAGAAGAGATGGACGTTTCTGCAGACTTGTTATCCAGCCGGCTAAAAGAATAGTGAGGATTACATTCAGAAGGGGCTTTATCAAGATCACAGTTCCATTCAATCTGAATTCCTATCACACCACCCTTAACAAAAGAGAGAGACAGGGTGAGTTGTTTAAACTTAGTTCAGTTAAAGTGTCTTCAAATTTGTCAGGCCCTTGGGCGAGTTTTCCCCAGGGACAAAACCAGCTGCACTTCTGGTCCCAGACATGAGCACACACCCCCCTGGATGGGCTGAGTTCAGCTGTGTGATATTAATCCCATTACTCTACACACAACCCCAGCCTTTCCTGTGCTCATATCTGAAGAGCTTTCTCCCAGGACACTGATTTTACTAATTTAAGTGGCTGTAACATACTTCAATTGAGAAAATTCTCTTTTATGCAGGGACAGAGTTCCTGAAGTTCTGGGTTTAAACCAATGGTGCAGTAATGCTGAAATTAAACAAAGAATCCCTGCTGGCAGAGGTTTGGGCAGAATAACAGATAACTGACCTGACTAGCTCTTCCAGAGGACCCACATCACCCTGCCTCCCATTCCCTGGGGACAGGATAAATGGGACCAGCTTGACTTTAAGCACTGGCATCTCTCCAGTGCAGCCTGGACAGGAGGCAGTTCCCTGGGCAGCGGGCAGTGACTTCCCTCACGGCCACCCAGCGCACAGAACAGCCAGTTGGGAAGACATGTGAGCCCAAGGGACACTCCTACCCCCAAGGCCATTTCCTGGAAGTCGCCCCCGGCCCAGCGGACGATGTTCCCCAGCACGAAGATGGGGCAGTAGGGATGCTCGGCGCTGTAGCGGCAGGTCTTCAGGTAGGACTCATTGTCAGTTGCCAGCACATTCATCCTGCATGTAGAGAACAGGGAAATCTGCCTTATCTCCCTCTTTCCTTGCCTGCACAGCCTGCACCACGACTGCAGAGACAACAGATTTTTCCAACAGCCCAGAAATGGCCCCGTGCCACCAGCCCTGTCACCCCATAAGCTGCCCCGCTGCTGGCCCAGGGAAAGCAGCCTGCCCCTCCCAAAATGACCTCCAGGACAGACAGGGACTTGGCCATCTGGATCTGGGCTCAAGAAAGGACTGGCATGGAGCAGGTTGCCAGACTGCTCCAGGGCCACCTGGCTTCTCAAGGCAAACCAATAAGGATGCTAGAAATGCCTATCTGAGCCCAGGAGAATAACCAGAACACACTCCTTTCTACACTGCTTTACTTTGCTCATTCTGCAGCAGCAAAAGCAAACAACTATTTTTAAATTTGCATTTTTCCCAGCCTTGTCCAGGCACCGTCATTTTTATGGAAGAGGAGGAATATCTGTTGAGCAGAAGCAGCTCAGGACTATGCCAGGTCCATCTGCCTTAGGAGCTGTGCTGCATCCCAAGCTGTAGGAGCCACCAGACCTCACCTGGGGAAGGACAGCCTTCCTTTTCCCAGTTGCTCTCTGAGAAGCTCCAAGCCCTCATTATCTCCTTGTTTCTGCACAGCCTGAAGCCAAAGCAGAGGGAATACCCACCTCCCCAGCCCAGCCCTCCAGCAGGAGAAGGACAGTGGAGCAAACAGAGGTTATTGGTTCCATGGTGGAGAGGACAGAGGGATCTCCGAGCACCTGCACTTACTTGGAGAACTTAAACTTGGGGAAGCGAATTGAGTTCTTGATGTAAACAGTGAAGTTTTCTGCACTGCCAAGAAGGGGTTTCCTGGAAAAGAAAGGTTTGTTCTCTGTCTTAGATTTGTACCCTGCCCACATGCTAAATCTTGAATTGCCATTTTAGAAACAGCCTCATCCAACGGGTTGGATGGCACCAGGCCAGCCATGCCACTTTTCCCACACTGCCAGCAAGGAGTTGGTGAGGAGGGTGCAGGTTTAGGGGACACCCTGAGAGCTGGGAACAGCCCTGGGACAGCCAGTGAGCTAAGCAGGGGGAGCAGAGGGCCAGTCCTGCCATGGGGACCTTGCAGAGCTCCCTCCTGCCCTGAACAGCCAACATTCAGCAAGCACCCAAGCAGAGGGAACACAGAAACTGCCCTGAGTGACACACAAGCCAAGCAACTCAAGCTTGGAAACAGGATAGGACGGCCACGTACTTGGGCTTGGATCTTTTCTCCACTGGGCACCAGGCCAGTATCTCACAAGTCCCTCTGGTGCTGTCCCTGTCTTTCAAACAACGGCCAGTCTTAACCCCTGCGAGCAGACACACAGAAAAGGTCACACAGAGCAGTCACCTCCTCTCCTTGCCTACAGGGCACATGAAAATAGATGATTTTCTCTCTCCTCCCTGCTGTGAAAGGGCATCTCAGCTGGAACAAACACTCTCTTGTTGCTTCTCTGAGCAGCCCGGGGTGCCCTGGCCCAGCCACCGCAGAGCTGTAAGCAAGGCAGCAACTCAATGGAAGATAGTAAAGAAAGGAAAGGCTTTGCTGCTCTCTGTAATCAGAGATCTCTGGGAGTGTAACCAGGCTGAGGCCTCTGAAGGACACCAAACACAGCACAGGAGGAAGGACCCTTCCCTTACCATTGCCAGCCACCACTGCTTCCCCTTCCAGGCAGTCCTCGTCCTTGTGACACAGGGCATCGGGAATGCTGGCACTCTGCAAAGTGCAACAGAATCACAGGATCAGAATCACAGAACTCTGAGGACAGAAGTGAGACCTGCAACAGGACACAGGACTCAGAGGGGTAAGAAAGTGCTGCTGCTGTGGGGGGAATTCTCTATATTGAAACAAAGATTTCATGAGCATTTCTACACTTTGGCATCCCAAGCCCCTCCCCGACAGTCTTATTGTTACAAGGCATCAGCATCAATATTTAGTTAAAGACAACCTAAATTTCTTCTACCTAACAATCCTTGAAATAATTTCAAATCTTATTTTTACAAGACATCGACATCAAATCTTTAGTTAAAGATAACTTGATTTAGTTTTGTCTACCTAAACAATCTTCTGTTGTTTTAGTTCTCTGGGACCTACAGGTCACTGAACACAGCTGCATGTTTTGATAATCTCTCTAATTCCTTCTTCCCATCATTAACCAATGTTTAAATAAGAGCTACAAACTTACAAAGTTGAAGCTATTTAGTAAAATTCAAGCTAACACTGTTTACTCCCTTTCAATATGAACACCTAAAAGATGCAGCTGAAGTGGTAACTGTGGGTCATGCAAACAGCTCGGCATATCACACCACCAGGAACACCAGGATTCACACACAGTCCTGATTTTGGGTTCTGCTCAGTCTGGAGAGGGACAGACTGTGAAAAAACCCAGACGTTACCTGGCACTCACCAAAACCAGCCTGGAGGCCACGGTGCTTCACCCTAAGAGATAACCCTACCTCGGGGATCTAAGCTACGAGCTCTCCAGCCCAAAACTGCCCCTCTCCCGGCTGCACGGTGGGTTCCTGCAGCCACTAGAGGACAGCCGTGTCCTCAACAATCCAGCTGTGCTCCCGGCCCTGGAAAATCCATCTCTGCCAGAGGGACACAGCGCTCCTGCACTGCCAGCACCCTCCTCCCCCAGCCACGTCTCCACAGAGGACATTTCCACATGACATAAAGACCTCACGCCTCTGGCCCACGGGGCATGTTCTAGAAGGTGCTAAGAACCCTCCTGTGTCTGGAAGGTAATGAAAGCCTGAGTGTCCAGCCCTTCCCAGGATGGGGCTCTTGAGAGTCTCCTCTACCCATAACTACACTGAGTCACCTCCAAGTTGTTTTCCCACGGCCTTCTCTGACCCTGAGCAATCACTGCCTGGTTTGGGCAGAAATCCAACACCTTCACCTCAAGTCAGGAAGGCTCTACACGATCAGTGCCTCTGGAAATTAAGACAGCTGAGCCTCCCAGGTTTGCAGTAACCAGTCTGATTTCCCAACTGAGATATCACACTACAGAGAAAAACCGTTCGCCTTCCGTCCTTCCTCTGGTTGTTGCTCCCCAGGAGTCCTCTGTCAGTTCTTACCCCTGGTTTTGTAGGGGTCTGGGGGCCAAGGGGCTCAGTTCTTCCTACCTCAGGACAGGTGGCTTGTCTCTGGTTTGGGGTCACGATCAGATTCGTCATGACAAAGAAGACGCTTTCACCCTAAAATAAACAGAGTAAAGCAGGAAAGGTTAGAAAACCTGGTTTATTTTCAAAGTACTTGTTACAAGGAGGATGCAGCTCTCTGCAGAAGAGTACAACCTCCCTCTCTTCAGAGGGCTTTCAGGCTGAGATACAACAGCACCCTTTGTCTGCATATTTGTTTGGATGAGGTCCCTCCTGCTGTGGGTGCACACACAACCATGAGAGCCAGCCCACGGCCCTGGGGGGAGGCAGGGCAGCCCTGAGCATCTCTCACAAAAATCCCACACTCACCACAGAAACCCCCTTCCAACACACAGCCCTGCCTGCTGCAGATAAAAATCGGAGATCTCGGGTTTCCCTCTGTGAGAACAGAGCTTGGAGGAGACAGGGTTTCTCCCAGCCTTCACTGCCTCCTGCTCCACTACCCAGGTCTCTCCAGCACAAACCAGCCCACCCAGACCCACCAGGACCCTTCTGCCCAAAGTGACATGACAGAGATCACACAGTGATCTCAGATCAGGTCAGCAGAGCACTCAGTGCACTGGTAGCAGGCATTTAGGAACTCCTCAAAACCCAGGCAGGATGCAGCTCACGGCTGAGCTGAGATGTGCAGCAGTGAAACACCAATTCACACATGGGGCAGGAAAGCTTGTGAGGCTTTGTGGTCTCACAGCCCACAGACATCACTGTGAGCCCATGGTCTAACACCCCTGAGGCTGCTGGAGGCAAGTGGACACCAGGGCACAATATTTGTGCTCCTGAAGCCACAGCCCAGCCAGCTGGGTGACACAGCACAGCAGCCCAGGGGCAGAGCTGGTTCTCTTCACTCAGCCCACCACACTACAAGGCTTCCCAGTAAGCCAACATGCAGTAACAAAACCATTGAGGCACAGGAGAAACACCTGGCAAGTTAAAATACTGTCAGTGCCACCATTTCATCCCTGGGTGTGCACCCCAGCCACTTGTTCAATGTCCCCAAGGCTGGGACTGAGGCACCACAAGCACATTCCCAACCCTCCTGCTGCACAGCACATGTGGGGCTGAGGCTTTGCACTGAAACTGGTGGAAGCAGAGAGCACAGTCACAGGTCTGGGGAGCAAAGCAGGAGGAAGGGAAGTTTTATTCTTATGTACAGGCAGTTAAATTGTTCAATTTATAGCTTTCTGCCCTGTCAGCACAGGACCCTGGGTTTCCCCTCACACCCTTCCATGCAGGGAAAGCACAACTGCCCCTGGCAAGCACAGCTGGGCAAATTCCAACTGTTGTTGGGCCACATCTGCTGCCACCTCTCCCCTGTGCATCTCACTGTGTCCAAGCCAAGGAAGCAGCAGGGCAGGTTTAACCAGACACATTTCCAGCAACCCTCATCACTCTTAATTGCACCACATTTTCTTTCCACCTCCCCCTGCTCTGTGCACACCTGTTCTAATCCAGGAACAGAGGTGAGCAGACACTGCTCAGCTGAGAAATCCACGGGATTTCTGCTTCCCAAACATCACGGACCTGAGAAACCAGGTTGCTTTAGTATTTGCAGGAAAGACCTAAGAGAAGGCCCAGCGTTGCCTTCTTGTGGCCCAGCTCCTGGTTATCCACAGGGAAGACCTGGATACATCACTTCAATCATGCTGGAAGCTGAGTGGCAGAGAAAACAGCAACGGGGTGATGCCAACCTGTGGAGGGATGACGTAGTCTGCAACATCCCACAGCCTCTCCCCCAGCTCCGAGGTGTTGGTGAAGGCCACCCCTTTCAGCTTGGTGATGACAGAGCTCTGGAGAGATGTGTCTGTGTCCTGGTAGCCTTTCTTGACAACAAACACCCACCTGTGTGAACACAGCAGGCAGCAGCATTGGGGGGGGTTCAGGGAACAAGTCAACCAGAGGAGATTCACACCAAGGTCAAATACCATCCAAGAGTAAATCAAAGCATGCCAATGACACCAAACCCTCTGCAACTGCTGCCACAAATACAGAATAAACTCTTTGACACAAGCTGGGCTTATCCACAGCAGGAAAATACGTAACAACTGGTCATGAGGTAAAAAAACCAAAGCCTCCCACCTCACTGTCCTGTGCTACACTCAGCAACCTCAGAAGAGGAAAGAGGGAGGACAGGGCTCTGCCTTCCTCGAGATGAGAAACAAAACAAGCTTTTGCAGGTTGTAGTGAAGAGTGTGGCTGGTTTCGCAAGGGCACAACTCTCCCACTTTAGCCCCTTGTCACTGGGCTGCCAGTCAGCAACAATCCATGGCTGGGGAGATGCAACTCCTGCAGGTGAGCTGGATACTCCTAATCTGTAGGGAATATTCTCATCTGGATACAGGATCTTTTGTAAACTGGTGTCATGGTAACAACCTGACTGCACACCTGGGAGAGCTACTGGGAGAGCTGCTGCTGCCTTGCCAAGCAGTCCAAGGAAAGGCTTTGCTTACTTCTCTTGCTGTCCTCGGCAGTGTTATCCACAGGATTGCTCCTTTAGCAGCCAGTCCGTGCCAGACTGCTGAGACTTCACTCGTGCTCTGCTCACTAGAGCAGGCTCTGGGACTGCACAGCCTTCTATAAATAAACCCAGCACGTAAAAATGACTCTGCTATATTTAATCAGTGAAAACACGAGGTGCAAGAAAGGTGAAGGGACTCAGAAGCACAAAGAGGGTACAGACTTAGCTATCACATTCTGAAAAGCCTCAGAAACTCAGGAAGCGATGGCACAAGCATCACGTAGGTTGGATAATTCCGGGTCTGAGCCTGCAAGGACTATCACTGTGCCCATTACACACCATTGTGACCAGCCTCTTACAGAACTGGGCCTTTCCTGAGTGCTGCTCCAGCTATTTCCATGCCAGCTCGCCCTGCTCTGAAATGAATGCAAGGCAGCCAAAATTCCCGCTGCCTCAGCCCCCACAGTCCCGGCTGCTGCAGCCCACTCCAGCAAAGAAATCTCCCACTTTCTGCTGGGTTCCCTCCCGTCTAGGCTTGAGCACGTCATGCTGTCCTGCAGATAACCCAGGTGTGTCCCAAGGCTCAGCACCGTGGCCATAAATGCTACTGTTCCTAATGAGTCAGGTGTTAAGGTTTGGCACCATTCCCACCGAACACAGAAATAAAGGTATAAATAATGCAGTACAAAGCCACAATGGCATTGGGGCTATTTTTAACCAGACCTTAATCTGAAAGGTAGAGCCGAATCTAGAGATCCCTAGCAGGTGAAAAACCAGATATAACCTACTGAACATTACAAAATCCAGCTGTACCAACATGCCTGGCTATCTGCATTAAAACCAGGAGGCACAGCAGGCTGTCTCTGTGTGCAGAGTATCCTACATTGATCTTTACACAGCACAGCAAGCAAAGGCAACCCCAGCAGCACGTGAAACACAGGGTGATCCTTACCCCACCAGGTAAGCCAGCACGGAGAGCTGCACCACTCGGTAGAGGATCCCCACCTTCTTGTTCTTGGCAATGACGTATTTCTCCGTTTTATAGTCAAAAAGCGACAGGAATAAAGCCTTCCAAGCCACCTGCCCCATGGTCCCGGCTCGCTCCGGAGGCTGGAGCAGCGCTCGCAGCTCTCGCTCCCCACACGTGCCCTGCCTGGAAACCGACACACCAACCCCTCGCACTGATCTCCTCCCTCCTGTCAGCTGCTCCCCGGCGGCTCCCGGCTCACAGACCAGCAGCTGCGCTAAGATCAGATCCTCCCTGAGCTGCTTTCCAGCTGATTCATCCCCTGGGGAAACCCCCCTGCCCCCATCAGTTTTGTCCCCAGGCTCCTGTCCATCACAAAATGATCAGAACTAAACACGTTATAGCGTGAAACCATGTCACAGCATCCAAGGTGGCACAGTTACAGTCTCTCACTGCTAAGGATTAAAGCCTTTCTTCAGCCTTTACGGGATGACAAAGCATCGGGTTAAATTTTTAATTTCTTAAACATTCACATGTGTACTGAGGTCTTTGACAGTCACCCAAAATATCTGCCTGGCTACAAAAACCCACTAAATTCCCAAATTAAGGAACTAATAAATGAACTCTGCACGTGGTTAAGGATCAATCATCATAGACAATAATTTCTTAAAAGTGGACCTGAAGAAACAAGTACAGGTGACAGACGGGGCAAGCAGGCTGGTTTTGTTTCAGGAAACAATGTGGGCAAGAGGTTCCCAGCCAGGCCAGTCACACCTTACCCCAAAGGCTGTCACCCTCTGACAGCTAAAGACCCAACTCTCAGTTTTATGAGGTTCTGGAGCTTTTGGAGCTGCTCCAATTCCATCCTCAGTCATTGCGGACCAACAGCCATTGATGGTCCAACCATGACACAGCAGCTGCCTTTGCTCCCCAGCTCACTGCAGCAATGAATTACAGAAGGAGCCAGAAACTTGGCTAAACTCATTTGGAGGAATATAATTTCCTGCAATTTACCTTTGTTTGCCATTAACAGTTACTGTGCTCCTGTATCTCCTTTTATTTCCATTACTAGTACTGCCAATTGTAGTACTCCCCTGCCAAATTCTCTTCCCTGGGAGAATCATTCTCAAGATCTCAGGTTTTATGAAAATGTTGTCCTTCATCCTCCTTAAATTCCATATCAAATCTAAACAGCTAGATCTGATTTTTAATGAGCATGTGTGACAAGGTTGCTCCAAACCACGAGAGAATCACAAACAGCGTAATAAGGAAAAAACCACTCATTTTGTGCCTCATGCCAGAGCCATCCCTAGAGTTTCTCTGCAAAGCAAAAGAAGCCTTTCTCCAGCATCTGCAAAATTAGAGCACAAACCTGCCTGTGGCCTCCTTTTAACCCGGTGGCTGCTGCACTCCCCAGCCCCAGCCCCACTCTGCACTGGCTCTGTCACAAGGGGCTCCTGGGGTGAAGGGCTGCTCAGGGAGTGAGTCCCCCACTCCTGTGCACCCCCCATCCACTCCCCCACGTGTGCCCAAAGTGTGGGAGAGGCCAGCCCTGGCTCAGGGATAGCCCCAACCCCGCTCCCAAACACTGCAGCCTCAGCACAAGCTGTGGGCTGGTCCTGCTCATCTCTCCCACTGCCACGACCCCTCCTTTCCCTGCCTGCATTCCCCCCAGGGGCAGCCCCTCTTTGCTCACAAAGCATTTTGGCTGCTCCCCAAGCCCCTCCTGGAGCCCTCTTTCCCTCTCAAGCATCTGTTCTTCATGCTTTACCTCTTCCTTGATCCATATTTGGCCATTGCACCCACCACTCCTTACCAGATTCCTACAGACCAGACCATCACTAGATCCAGTCTTAAAGGTCCTCTGTGTGAAAGCCTGAAGCACAAATAAAATCTTAAAACATACAGTAACCAAATAATACAAAACCCTCATTGAAAACACGCTCCTGCAGAAAGGAAGGAGACCACAGTGGTCCATGAATCCAGAAATGAGTAAGGAGGAAAAGTGAGCTCAGCCTGTCTTCCCTCTCCACTGCCCAAACCCCAGAGCCAGGCAGTTAGAGCTCAGGGAGACTGACCCAGCTCCAGGAACCAGAGCTGGATGGAGACAGGAGCATCCTAAAGGAGCCACCACCTGATCTCCTGCCCAATCTGCTCCTTTTGCAAGGATGTGACAGCCAAGCATCGTTTCTGTCCCACAGGAACCCCCCCTGCTTGCCCTGGCCCTGCTGGATCTGCTCCAGGGACAGGACTAGAGAGTGAGATGCCTCCACCATCTCTCCTGCTACACTGAGGACACACAAGTTCATGGACAAATGAAGCTCCAGAGGAGACAATTCAGCCCTTAGTGGTGTCTCAAGACCCCCCTTCTCCATCTCCATCTTCCTCATCTGTCTGGGGACTGCACAGACAGAGATCAGACCACAAAACCTGCCAGCAGTTAAACAGTGTGTTACCTCCTGGCCTGGTTTTACTTGGTGGCACAGACACAGGTCTGCTCTGAGTCTCTGTAATAATTTCCAGGTCAATTAATCTGAGAAAAGATTTACACAGGTTAGAAAAAAAATGTTCCTTAGAGTGAGAAGTGTTCTGCTCTAGGTGTGGCCTCAAGATGTCAACCAGGCTTGACCACTAAAATAAAAAAAAAAGGATGTAAAGCTGATACTTTTCTTGGTTCTTTTTAAACATCAAACAGGAGCACAGTTGCAATAGCTGTTTTGGAACAAAAAGTTTCACATGTATCAAATGTGCCTCAGAATATTCTGCATACTGCTCAGTACAAGCTAAATTTTTGCTGACAAAGCTGTTGCTGCTGCTGAGCTGCAAAAACAACTTAGCTGGTACTTTTTTGAACGCTCTCACAAATATTGTTTTCATCACCTGGTTTTCACAGCCTTATTTTTTTTCTTTTCTTGCCTGGAAATCAAGTCTGCTGGTGTGTTTCTTGAACTGGTTTTGGGTGTTCAAACATAAGCAGTTTCATTTGCAGCGGGGGAGTAAATAACCTAACAAAATCAAAGCATCATCAGTGAAAGATAAAAAAAATTGTAGTTTCTCTTAGTCTTTCTCAAGGGACTGAGGTTGGATCTTCCCTGCAAGATCTCTTCCTTTATGAGTCCCACACTTTGAATTTTCCATGAAAAAAAACCAGTTCTGCTCCATTCCCATGAGTGGTGTTTTCTCAGCCCCGAAATTCTCACAGGGGGAATCACACACAGGACTGAAACTGCCCCTTTCTCTATTTTTTATTCCTGACATGTTACACCTGTACTTAATTCTCACACTGTTCACAGTAATTGTCTCAGGTATCCTGTGAGCACACGTGACTAATGACATCCCTGCCTGCCCACACTGCTCCTCACCTACTTTCCCTCCACCTGTCAGCAGCTCCTTGGTGTTAAGCTGCCCTGGAGCTGATCTCAGCTCGCTCAGGAGGCTGCAAATGCCACATTAAGGGTCTGTGGAAATTAAACTTTAAACCCCTGCCCTGATCCAGGGGCATTGAAACACAGTAAGGTCACGTCTGTCTCTATGATAGTGTAGCATAGAAAGATTTCAAGATCAGCCCAGTAATATCTTTAAATTACACCCAAAGAAGACCAGATGCTTTCCAGGCAGTGGCAGAGAGCCCTGGAGGTGCCTGTTTTAGGCACTTGTTCACTTCCAGTGCCAAATAGTCACCCCCAGGCATCAATTCTCTCCATGATTCCCACTCCACCCTTCACTGACTGTCAAGTGCAACAGAAACCATCAGCTCCCAAAGGCACGGGGCTGACTCATAAATGCTGAGACATTTCTCCAGCACTGAAATGCCCCTGCAGCAAATGTTTGAGTGATGCAGGTCCATCATCCCTCGGAAACAGGCGCCAGACCAGCTACTGAAATAGCAGAGAGACGAGGAGGAGAGGATGTAAATAGGAGACAAGCTATTTTGGCAAGGAAATGAACAGTGGGAAGGGCAGCTCTCTCCATTAGTGGTTTCTTCTCATACTGTCATACTGGTAAGTCAACATCTACAAAAAAAACAAGGTGAAGGGTTGAACAGGTTGAAAGAGGAAGTTGCTTTCAAACCACAGCTCGTACACATGGAAACACAAGGAAATCAGCACCATCAAGCATGAGCTGCTTTCTGAAGGTGATGGGTTTGGATGTAAAAAAAAGAAATGTGTGTGCAGTCCACAGTGAAAAATGCTCTGTTCAGCTTCTCTTGCAACCCTGGCTGTGACTTTGCAGGGTAAATGAGCCTCTGTGTTTGTCCTCTTAACTAGCACAGCTGCACACCCAGCCACAATGGAGAGGGAATTTGTGGAAAGAATCTGTCATTATCCACAGGAGCATCCTGAACTGTCTGTAGGAGTGAGAACTGGAAGAGTTCTGAAGTTCCAGAACATATTCTGTCCTTTATTCAGCTCTTCACTTCCAGGAGAGCCATTTACAGCCTTTGAATGCATTCCAGGTTATTCCCCAAGTCTTGAATCTCCTCTACAGCGTGTAGGAGTGTTGTTATTATTAGCTGGAACATTTACCCACTCCTCTCCCCCAACCCAAGAAGGAAAGTGCTGGAGGAAGAGGAACAGAGAGGAAGGAAAAATATTGAACATCTAATGAAGCCAAGCCATCATGCCCTGTTCTGTGGCAGTGCTGGCACTGAAACAGGTAACAGGAATTAAAGTGCACATAAAACACTGCTCAGAGACTGAGTGCAGTGACAGCAGAGTTGTGCAGTGCTGCATTGCAATGAATTCACCTTCTAAAGTCAGCCAATAACAGCATCATTGGGAAATTATGGAATGTTGAATCCAAGCCTGAAAGCTGAATGTGTTTAATAAAATGTGTATTCACAGGAACCACTGATTTAAAGGTGAGGCCCTGCTCTTGAATACACCAGACAGATCAGTATTTACTTCTTTGTCAACACATGTCATTCCTGACTTGGAAACACAGGAAACCAGTCCTGGCTTGATACCCCTACCAGAGCTTACCTTGAGGAGAAAACTTCATCCCCTTCCATCACCTTCCTCAAGGAAACAGGTAGAAAGTGTAGCCTGAGGCCTCTGTCCTTTCCTCCTGGAATTACTCCTTCCAGCCATAGGGAAACGCAGGTGCTGCTCAGACCTGACTCCCAGAGGAAAAGGTTTCCTGAGCAGCCCCCTCAGCCTGGCACCTGAGCTCACCCCACACCTGCTGATGGCAGAGGCTGAAGTGTCCCAGCTGTGCTGCACAGACCTACTGGAGCCAGTTTAGCCAAGCTGGGAGGGAGAGGGTCAAAGGAATCTGCTTGTGGCAGGGCAGCATCATTCCAGCTCGCTCACTCTGTTATAATAAAGGACAGGAAACGTCTCTTTTGAGCTGCAATTCAATTACCTCCAAATAAAGCTGCCCCAACAGGCTCCTGAGCCCAGAAAAGCTCTCCTATCCGATGTTCTCATGTCAGCACCCTGCACTTAATAATGAAGAACCACTGATGCCCTTTTCCTGCTAAGCTTTCCTGAGCAGCAGAGCTCCCTTTCTCCTGCTGCCACCAGGCCATGGCATTCCCTCAGCTCCAACATGAACCCAGCAGCTTCTGAGCACACTGATGGAATTATAACCCAAGGTTTGGGAGTCTTCCTGGCATATGGGAAAGACATAAGCAGCTGGTGTCATCCCTGATCAGCACACAAAACACATCCTGCCCTCCCGTGGGAAGAACAAAACGGTGAAGAAACACAAAGCTGAACACGTGATGGGGCCCACGGTGGTGAAACCAAGAAGCTGTGGCTCTGCAAACCCTCTGCCACCTTTGCATAAAGGTCATGAACCATCCTGACAGCTCAGAGGCCTCTGGAACATCTGCAGCAGCTTCTCTGCCCCTGACACCTGGACCCCAAACAGCTGCCAACACCTTAAACCTGGCTGGGGTCGGACGTTCAACGACTCTGAAAGGGGCATCTGCAAATTTTCTGTCAGGGATGTGCCATAACTGTGCCACTGCCAGAGTGCACAAAAGGCAGGGCCATGCAGAGAGGTCACAAATGTTGACAAGGCTTTTGCACAGGGGATGTGATTCAAAATGCAGATTGCAAATAAATTTAGAAGCCGACACAGCAAGGCTCCCATGGAAACAGCACAAAAACCCAGCTGTGGTTTGGATGACTTGAGTCTTGGCAGTCTTGGCTAATCCCTTAAGTGCCATCCAATTACTGCAAATGTGTTTGGCAGCTGCTGCAGTGATTGCAAAGAATTAAATGGTCGGATGGCACTCACCGGAAATTACAAGTCACAGAACTCTGTAATGCATTTAAGAAAAAACATCTAAAAAGGAAAATAGCATTACCCACTGCAAGAGCTGACCTCCTTGAGAGCCTTCAGGGACAACAAAAGGGATCCAAGTAATCAGGGAAACTTAATTCAGAGAAGAAATTATGGAAAAAAAAAAAGAAAAAGGAGAGAAAGATTGCTTGTTAGTTTTGCATCAGACAATATTGGTTAAATCAA